GGGAGGGGGATCCTAGCCTCTTTATTTGTGCCTCTGTTGGGGTTGGCCCCTGAACTAAGCCAGGCTTGGATTCAAGATTATTTTCAGTGCATCTGGAGAACCAGCCTTAGGCTCCAAGGATCCCTCTTAGAGATGGAGAGATTGTTATGATAAATCCATGCATGAAAGAGGTTGAATCCTCTGCAGTTAAAATTATACAGCAAAGCAGATATTGAAGAAGATTAATTTGACATATGGCAGCCAATGCTATTCCCACATTTTTCTGAGGTTGACATATAAAGTTTTAACACTTCTTTAGGTCATGGATGAAAGTCTAGGATCTTTCAAATGTAGTGATTGCAAGTCATCAGTCACAATGCAACTTGTATATAAAACAAAAATATAATTTACTTTCTTCATTTTGGTTGCAGCTCATCTTGGCTTTTTCTTGAGTCCTCAATCAGTAGTGAATGAGGATAAGGGAGATAAATTAATTATATATTCAATCAAGTTTGAAGCTGTCAGGCCTGATCATTTAAGCTATCTTCTTCAGTTTGAAGTCATTCTTCCATTTGGATACAATGACCTAACTCTTATGTATTTACCCCCATTCCTGCTTCTTCCCCTGAGATGACAATCTAAAGTGTGGGGAAATGTGGGCGTGATTTAAGAGTCCTACTGGCATTGGGAATAAAGTAGGAATTCTCAGATTCACATGCTAACTTTGTATTACTTTCTGGACATCCTCTCCTTGCTGAGTCCATTGTCTGGTCTCTAGATGCCTGCTTGTGTTCCTGGAAGCAGTGTGGGGATGAACTCATAATTCCTTATTTTATCTTGGGCAAAAGGATAGTGGAAGAGTGCAAAACAGCTCATGTATGCATGGCCTCACATCGGCTCTCTCCATCTGCAGAAACCAAGTCCCCATCACATGCTCAGTCTATCTCAGTAGCCAGTGGTTCATTCCCAGGCTTGCTATGGGATTTTCATGCTCTGTGATAGCAGCAAGCACACCAAGAGTAGCCAGAGAAGTTCAACCACAGGGTCTCCTGCTGCCTAATCATGAGATAAGAACAATGGCCATTTTGATGTGGGATTTGTAAAAACATGTCAATTCTTCAATTTTTTAAGGACAAGTATTATATGGAGAATATTTAGTACTATATCTTTAACATGCAAGTCCTTTTTCTTCTTCTTTTTCTGAACATTATAATTTGCCTAACACTGTCATGAGATAAAAATATTGAATTCTAAGATTATTTCCATGTCTATGAAAACCACCGTATACAGAGTTTCTCTGACCATACAACTTTTGATTTCAAAGGTCCAATAGAAGTCTTCTCTTCATCAATAAAATTTGATTTCAAATTGTTCAAGGATTAATCTTATTTGTGTCTCTTCCCTAGTCTGTTGCACCATGAATATTTTCCAGGGTTACCTAAATCCTAACAGAAAATATAAATGTTCCTAGTTCTTGATGTAGTTTTTGGATCTAGAATGTCCTTTAATATTATCACATATATCTAAGAGCAGAGTATTTTTTTTTTTTACAGATGAAGATTGGTGTAGAAAATAGCCTTTCTATTAAATGTAACTATAGTTATTAAAATAATATAAGCAGTTTTGTCTTGGCTCAGTATGCTGCTTTGAGAAAAAAACTGCAGAGATGTTTGGTCAGTAGCACCTCGCCAAGTCTGCATTCTGACTTGCATTCTATTCACTGTCCCTGGCTTTTTATTACCATGCTTACAGAAATGTCTGTAAATAGAACATAAACTTTCCATAGAACTTTTTTTATATCTTCACTTTTTTAGAAATTTTGCTTTCTTTATAATCAGGAAGTAGTTACAGAGTGTAAATAGAGTGAAACTCTTTTCTTATTTTCATACTGACATGTTCAGGGAATGTTATGATTTTTCTTCCCCTACCCCTTGTAACTCTTCTCTGGCTAGATTTTCTTAGAACTCCTGGATCCCTAACATCTGGGGGTTCTATTTAGACTGGTTTGAGCGTATCACAAAGTTATTTCTTTGGACTAATGCACATGTGCTTAGTGGATTGGCACATCTGGAAAGACTGCGGGTCCCGGCTTGCTAATCTCTTTGCTTCCTTCATGTGTGATGGCCATGAGGAGGTTGAGGAAGGCTTAAGCTGGTGAAAGGGCTTCCTGGTCTCTTCTCCAGTGCACAACTTCAGTCGTTCATGCTCTCAAAAAACATTTCTTGAGTATCCACTGTTTTCTAAGAGCTGGGAAGGGTCAACAGAAAGCAGAAACCTCTTCTTTGGCCACAATTTACACAGTTTCTTTCTCTTCCCGGTAGAGCAGGGTGGAAATGTCCAGCCCTAGGCCATGTAAGGCCCACAAATCATTTGGCCTGGCCCTGCCAAGGCAACCACAGGCAGGACTCAAAACTCAACAAACTTAGGAGCCTTTTTCAAAACAGCATAAATTTATATGAAGTGAATTATATTAAACAAATGATCTTATAATTATCCAAATGGCCCTTGGCAGAAAAAAGGTTCCCCACCCCTGTTGTAGAGGGATCCAGATAAAGCAATATGGAGGTCAGATTACAGTCATCCCAAACATCAGCAAATGAAATATGTATAACTAAATTCACACACCAAGAGCCACTGTTGCGTTCATTATGGTCAATATTTCCACCAAATTATTGTATTAGGTGTTTGCAGACACATTGAGCTATGGTGTTTAAGGAACACATGAGCTAAACCATGGAGGTCAGCACGCACAGCAGACATCAAAAGACAGGGATGAGTAGACTTATGCCAAAGCCAACATTTATGCTGCAATGAGGTCATCTCCCCAAACCACATGATAGCTTAAATCATACTATAATAATTTGCTTCTTGCAAGTGGAGTCCTAGATAAGTTAATGAATCAATACATGTATTAATGGTAGCCTTTGGTGTATATTACATGATGTGATAAACCAAACATAGTGTAGAATTTTGTCAGCTATATGTATTTATTCTTTTTGTCTCCAATAGCATGAGGACATTTTAAAATAGCATTTTGTGTGTGTGTGTGTGTGTGTGTGTGTGTGATACACTGACATGTTCTAAGATTATTTCCATGTCTATGAAAACACACACACACACTGTAAGTCCTCACTTAACATCATTGATAGGTTCTGTGACTTTAAGCAAGATGATATATAACAATTTTCTTATAGGCTAATTGATATAAATGAGAGTTAAGTTCCTATGGCATCTCATCAACATTATAGCAAAACAATGTTGAATAAAACCAAGGACCTGATGGTTTTACCTATTGTAAACCTCTCTATATTTTTATGGACAAATAAATACTCCATCAGTATCTTGTTTTTAACAATTGTGGTTTTAAAAAGCCTATGTAACAAGAGCAGACTTTGCCTTTTAAAACATTCATGTAGTTATCAAAAAGTCCCCATAATGCTAATAAGTAGCCCCTATAAGAACATTTAAAAATTAAACAAACAAATAAAACAACCGGATTTGGTCCTCAGCTAACAGTTGTAGTAAGCAAGTGCTCCTGTCAGTGAGGCCAGAGGGAAAGGATATGGCACGGGTAACCCTAGAAGTTACACATGTGTCAACCCAAACCCTGCCAGCCTGCCCAGCGCGCCATTTCCCTGTTCTTCTGAGAGACTGTGCCAACTTCGCCAAACAGCCCACAGTGCTGTTCCTAAGGACTGTTTCGTCTGGCTTTCGGGACCTCACGGTGTCATTGTTCCAGGAACTGCTGTGCATGAGAGGTGAGGGGCTCTCAGTCAAACGCCAAAGCTTCGCTGAGTCTCTCTCCCACGTCTCTTGGCTGACAAGTGCGGAACAGCGAACTTGGAGGTTGTGCGGTTAAGGAAATCCGCCTTGTGATGGCAAAGGCCTCCCACTGCTGCAGAAATGGCATCAAGCACGACCCCCGGAGGCCCACTCAGCACCACGCAGTGGGCTGGCCACACATTATAGATTTATAACAGTTAATCCTGACACTCAACCAAGTTACATGATTTATTTTGTTTCTACACTTCTGTGTGGGTGGATGGGTGGGTGGGATTCCTATTAGGCTAATTAGTATTTTTCCTTTCTCTCCATATATTATGTGAAATCATTTATGCTGAACCCAGAGTCAAAGTGCAGTCACTCCCTGCTCTTCTTCTAAGCAATTTATTTTCATTTATTTCATACCCAGCGTTACTAGTTTGCTGTAATCTAATTTAGATTAATAATATGCCTGTATGTAAACAGGGAAAAACTCCTTCCCCTTAGGTACCATATGAATGGGTCAAGGGCAATGACGGTTCCAAGGAGAAATCCGGCCTTGAGAGCTGAGGCCCACCATGCCCACCGCCCTGGTACCGCACCCCCGTGTCCCATGCCCTGAGAGCATCACAGCGGGCCGCCCGCCAACTGCCACTGCCTTCTCCACAGGCGGGCGCGGAGCACCTGATGCCAGCCAGCGGTGAGAGGACCGGTGAAGGTCACCATTAATACAGCCCTGGTTAGCTCTCTTCAGGCATTTTATAAAACACACCGCCACGGCAGAGAGCTCAGTCTCAGGGGCAGAACCTTTGTTTTATACTTTCTTCCTTATCTAAAACGGGCGATTGCCTTTCTGCCAAAGAGGCTCAAAAGGGCCATGAAAACCGGAGTCCTTCAAAGCTGTTAAATGCATCTTGAAATTTACAATAAAATTCAGCGTGACAAATCTCCCGGAGAAATCTCCGGGGCCTCGCAGCAGCTCTTACACACCATTTTTTTTAGTTCGTATTTTAGTATTCGGCACCTTGAGAAAGAAGCAGGGAAAGCAAACGTGCAAGGAAAGCAAACAAAACAAAAACCAAAATAGAAAGAAACCCACCCCCAACGAAGACGCTGAGAATAAAAAGCAAACTGCCATGCAAGCTATTCGGCAGAGCCAGCACACAATGGTGCGTGCCAGGGTCTGCCCGCAGGTAGACGCAGCCGCGGAGGAGGCGGGCGCTGAGCCTGCAGGCACAGCAGCCACGGAGCGGACCTACCTTTCTTTCTGGTTCGGCGCTGAGACAAAGCAGTCCCATTCGCAGCGGGAGGCCAAATCAAAATGAAATTTTATTTAGTCTGCACCGTCCCCAGCTTCGGTTTCAGAGTGACTGCTTCGGAGCTGGCGCGGCTGTGGCTGGTGCATGCTTTGCATATGAAACTGCGGTAGGAAAAAATCTACATAATCAAAAAAACCTGCCTGAGAGTGACAGAACCTGGGCCCCAGGGGCTTCTCTGCAGGCTGTGTTCTCAGACAAGCCCTCTCGGGTGAAATATTTCCAAAAACTTTTTTTTACAGTATTAACTACAAATATTAATGGATCTATAATACTCCGATTTATGAAAATACATAGGGTTGTGCTTACAACTCTGCCACATCAAAATAATTGTGATTTTTTTCTGGAGATTTATGAATGCATCCAGAATCTGTGTGAGAAAGCAAATTAAATTTTAAGACATGTGCAGATTAACGGGGGTTGTTAACTGTACCTCCGAACCTCAGCAAAATAGGTGAGAAGCTGGTCAGATATTGAAAGAAAGACTGTGCTGCTTGGACTTTTCTCTGGAAACACACTGAACTCATTCATATTTGGAGGCTATTTTTGAAAACAGAGGATAATGTTTCAAAACACTTTTTAGACATTGGGAATATTTTTAAAATCAAGAGAAGAGACTACGGAATGCATACAGACTGCACATCAGGGCATCTTTGAAGACATGCACCTTCAGACAACATGGCTGAGCCTCAGCGGCTGTCACAGGCCAGGCCGGGTCAGGGGTGCGCCAGGGACACAGAGGGGGCTGCTGGGAGCCAGAGAGCGTTTCCCAAAGAAACGCTCCTCCCAGCTCCCCTTCCATAGGTCAGTCCACCATCTTCTTTGAGGAGGAAAGAAAGAAAGAAAACAGAGGAAACCTACCTGTATGAAACGGTGGCAAAAAGGCCAGCAAGGTCTCCCGCTGCATGGGCGCCGTCACTGGCTTAAGATGCGCCCAGGGCCGGGATCAGTGCCCAGGTGCGCTCCAGGGCAATGCCTGCCACTTGGCAGCGGGCAGCCTTCTCCCAATAGTGAGATACAAATGGCCCACACAGACCCCCAGCAGCTCCAGCTTCAGCCCGAGGACACACGGATACCTGTTTGAGAAACAGTCCAGGCTACTCTGTGATTCCAGTTTAGCCACAACATTCTATTATAAGAAAAGCTTTCCCGCCCCAGCTTGAGCTGGCTACCTGTCACTGTAATAGTTACAGCTGCAGGGTTCTCTTCCCGGGCCCCTTGGCGCTCCTGTGATGGCATCTTGCTCCTCGGTGCAGCCGCCAGCGGTGTTCAAGCCTCAGATGCCAGCCGGGCAGGGCGGCTGTGCCCTCTGGGCTCCGGGCCCCCCGCGTCCAGCCCCTGCAGCCAGCGGGCCCCTCTGCCCGGCTGCTGGTGTAATTATCTAGAGAGGCTTTCACGGGAGTTTTGCTTGCATATTATTTTTAGTTACAAGACACCCTTTTCTGAGAAACAGGATGTTAATTCTTAACAAACCCTCTCTCCCCCAAATTCTGTGCACCTGGCATTCACTTTCTACCTAATAAGCACTGTGAATATGCAAATGTTCAATGTCTGGGTAACCTCATTAATTTATTCCTCAGGCAATCATGAATGTGAACCAGGCCTGAGCCACCGTGCTAGAGACTGATCAGGGCTGCGAGCATCCGCCAGGAGTCTGGCTGCATCCCGACACGCATTTCACCTCGGTCTGTCCTCTGGCGCTCTGATTCCACCAGACGCCAGGCCGCAAAAGGCACAAGTAAAAAGAAAACATGCCAGGGGGTAGCAATCAAGGTCCCCGCCTTTCCCACCAAATACACACCCGCGGTGGCTGACGGGTGGAACAAAATCTCCACAGCAAAATAGTTTCCAAACTACCCAGCTGTCTTACTTTATTATCTGCTGGGGGTGGGGGTGGGGGTGGGGCTGGGGGGTCAGAGGGTGACCTGCTTTCCATACTGCCACGCAGGGGTGTTATCTCTCTCCCTGTCCACCTAAAATCCCTGAATACTGTTTGTAAAATGTTAGGGGATCCCGGTAGGTTTCCTATTTAACAAGCCATGTATGACAAATCGCAGTGTAATGTACTACGTTCTTAATCTTTAATTAGAATGTGAATATCTGCTGGAGAACGCAGTTAACTTTGACACGTTAAATCTTCTGGTTAAAGTGCCTTACAGGGAGAGCGGAGATGAAACGCGAGCAGCGCTGCTTCCCTGCACTCACCCAGGCAGCCGGGAAGGATGATAACATCTTGTAATACCTGCTCCGCAGTAATTAATCGCTGTGGTATTTAGGACCATTCAAGTAGACAAATATGACAGAGACAGGGACAATTAGGAACCTTGTTCAAGCTACATTAACTTTCCCAGCTATTACAACACAGCGGCGCAAGTTTGCTTGTAAAAGCTGCACAGGGATTGCTATGCATTAGCCGTGCGATTATTAATGAAAGAAAAGGAGAATTGTGTTTATTGTAGTTTGAAAATTGCAAATAAATTTCAATTATCTGCTATGTCATTTTGTTAAACATGCGTTCTGGAAAAGCCTTTGTACTCTAAATCACGAGCTACTTATAGCAAACCGGTGCCAGGAACCCTCCGGGAGGTAGAAAGTCAATATTTTTGTTGAAGGGGTTTTCTCTGGTAAGGGGAACCAGAGATGGGCAAAAGCACCGAGCAGGCGAGGGGCGGCAGGCTCGGCGCTCGGTGCACCCTGGCCGCCGTCCAGCCTGCCTGTGCCGGGGCCTGAGCCGGAGGCCTGAGCCGGGGCCTGTGCCGGGGCCTGAGCCGGAGGCCTGTGCCGGGGCCTGTGCCGGGGCCTGAGCCGGGGCCTGTGCCGGGGCCTGTGCCGGGGCCTGTGCCGGAGGCCTGTGCCGGGGCCTGAGCCCGAGGCCTGTGCAGACAGCGGGAGCACCCACTTGTGAGAAGGATCCAGGGCCCTCCCTCCTTTGGAACAAGCATGAGAGATCAGTTCTGACAAACCAAGGTCTGCCACCTGGCCATCACTGCGCCTCCCTGTAACAAACCAGTTGTTTTGTTAATGGAAAAGAAAGGGAAAACCCACGGAGTGGTTTGCTCAGCGGCACAGGTGACGGAGCGCCAGCCTTTCTGGAGAGCGCCTCCCGTCTATTCCTTTCAGGAGAGTAACTGCCAGTCACCTTGAATGGCAAACTTGGTCTTGAAAGCATACTCCCCCCCACCCCCGACACACACACACACACACACACACACACACACTTGGGGAGCAGGAATAAATACACCCGTTTCTCTGTTGCCTTTTGTGACGTTATTCATTTCTTAGAGCTTACAGACATACACTCCTAGGCCCAAACCTCCCCTCGCTGTCCCCACCCCAACCATGTCTCCAGGGGCCGACAAGGTGCAGGTCCTGTGACCCAGACAGCATCCCAGATCCAGGCAGCCTGCCGTCCTCCCGCCCAGGGCCGCTCCTGACACATTCCCACCACGTTATGCTCTGGCTTCACTGGCCATCGGGAACCGGACACGAAAACAGAGCCTGGTGCATCCTGGACCTGGGGACCCGATCCAATTGTCTCCTTTAAACCAAAGAAAGCCCAGCTTAGCATGGCACCGCTGCATCCCCACCCCACAATCCGCTGTCACGCGCACACAAAAAGCGCTCAGTGCTCGGGGACAATCTCCCTCTCAGCCGCGCTGGATGATGTCAGCTTTCTGATTACAAACTGCTTATTTATGCTTCAACAGCTGCCAAGAGCAGCAAATAAGTGGCTAAAAGAGTGTCTAGACCAGGCTTTCAGGCCTCTATTGTCTGGCGGTTGTTACCTGGTTGACAGCGATGGGTCCAGCTGCCTGGTGTGAAAGGGAGCAGAGATGGGGAGGCCGTGATTGACAGGAGGCCCGCCGGGTCAGCCGACGGCCCCGCGTCTTTATGTTCCCGGCTCCAAAGGGAGCGCCAGGCCTGCCTGAGGTTGGAGGTGAAAGGAGACGCTGTAGGGTAATGAGAAAATCTTTTGGCCACATTTGCCATCATGAACACTCCCAGGGTGAGTCTTAGCCAGGCCGCGTAGCCACAGAGTAGGCAGAAGTGGGCACTGCACTTCAGGTACAGCCCTCAGGTCCCCGGAGGGGAGCATATGTGGACATGACACAGGCTTACTTTCCTCCTTTTCTCTTTCTTCTTCTTCTCCTTTTGTTTGTGCTCTGGTTTGGGATAGTCTCAAGCGCATGCGTCTGTGCCCGCGTTTCATTCACATCCTGGTGGTTCTGTGAGAGCTTCAGAAGCTGCCTTTTTAGGACTTTCAATCCCAGACTGACAGAACGCTAAACACTCCAACATTTGGGAAAAACAAGGAGCTGTGCAAGCTGACGTAAATGTCTAATTAGAATTTTCCACCACTCCTTGCAACTTTTCAATCCTTCCTTCTCATTTGTTTCCAACCAAGCTCTCCGTTTAACACTTCTCAGGGTTGATTTGAATGTACCACATCGTTCCCTTCATCCCGTCTCACAATTCACTGCAGTTGATTGGCATCCAACATTTGTGGCTTTAACTCTGCTCCTCCTCTCACCCCCACTTTGTAGTTTGGGGTTCTGGAAAGGAAAGGATGCTGTTAAGTAGTGACCCCAGAGAGGCACTCATTTGAAAATAATAATAACAATAATATTAAAATATCTTCCTCCATCATGCCCTCCCCTAGCTATTGCCGCTCAGACACTTGTGCCTTCTCGGGGGCGATGGCCCCGTTACTCAGACCGCATTGTTCTCACAGCGGCAATTAAGATGCGGCCACTAATGCTACACTTTCACATTTTCGTTCTTATGTACTTTTTTCAAGCACTGAAAAAATGCTTTCTTTCAAATGTTGGCCGTGATCAGTGATGCAAATAGTACAAATCTGATGATTCTGTAGCCTGAAAGATTGTTGCATTTAAAAAGGAGAAAGAAGAGGAGGGGAAGGAGGAAGAGGAGGAAGAGGAGGAGAAGGAGAAGGAGGAGGAGGAGAAGGAGGAGAAGGAGGAAGAGTAAGCTTTCCACAATGTGAAAAACAGCATCCTTTAAAACCCTGGGATCCCGAGAAGGGACCAGATTTGAATGAAATGCAGGCAAGCAGCTGAGGACGCAGAGCTTACTTTGTGTATACAGTTGGCTTTCTCCATAATATCTGACGCAAACTCTGTAACAAAAATGAAATCATGTTAAATTAACTGTAAAAAGTAAGTTGATTTAATTAAACACAGAAGGACTTAATAGATATAATAAAATGTTAAAAAGTCAAATGATGTGCAGTTACATTGCAGTTAACACTGCTCAACGAATGTACTAAAATTATTCCTTTCAATAATGATGTGTTTTGAACATTTAATTAGATAAATAATGTCTAATCACTTCAG